ATTCACTACTCGAAAAGATGAAAAGCGCGTATCCCGTCCACGCGTCCAGTCACCGACAGGAACTCGAACTTGAAAGCTCGTGTGACGCATGTAATATGCACAGAAATAGCACACATCGGCTTCCCCATTTTTGTGATGGAAGAAGTCCACTCGTTCATTTCCAGAGCAAGCTATATACTACCTGCTGAAGCGACAACATGTCATTCAACGAAAGAATTATTTCGTACTCGCAGATCCACGCAGATCCTCCATAGCCGGCACCGGCACTGCACTTCAACCGACGATGATAGTCCTCACTGCGAATTCGAACGGGCGCGAGGCGCTGCCATATGCCGCCCCCGAGCCCCCCGCCCCGGTGTGCAGCCGAGCTTCTATCGGCGCTGCGCCGCGGACACGTTCTCACGCACGCGGCGCTGTTTCCGCTGCCTGCCAATTTTCTGCGCGGAGCCCCACAATAATTCTTGTCCGCTCGCTCTCTGCTGCTGCTGCGATTTGTTGAAACGAGTCCAAGTTGCAGCCCGGGCCGGGGCCGGCGGACTCGAGTTAGTAGTCCTTATGACTGGCCGGCCGGCGGGCTCGGCTGCTGAGGCCCGGCGCTATGCTCCCCGAGTAGAGTGAGAGCGCCAGGCTGCACTGCACGGCCCATGTCGTGCGCGCTGCACCGCTGCTGCTGCCGCTGCACGGGTTAGAGGATCATTTTTCATCATTATATTTTCCTCACCCTGACCCTGTTTTCCCCCCGCGTATCCTGTTCGTGTGTCGTGCCATGTGTGAGTGTGTATGTGTGTATGTGTGTGTGTGTGTGTGTGTGTGTATGGGGACGCCACCATATCGTGCAGGGCGTAGCGTGGCATCAGCGCGCCGGCCCGCGTGACGTATTCGCCGTCACGTCCCGCGCGGACGTGCGGGTACGATGCACGGGTGGGTACGGCGTACGGGCCGCGCGGCCGAGGCACCTCGCCCTGCCTGTCGCCTGTATTATTATTATTTATTGGCTCTCTTGTTTGGATTGCCGCGGAGACAGGCACGTATGAAAGTCGTGTTCACTTTGTGTCGACTGGTTGCAAGTACCTACTTGCGCTGCGAGTACGTGCTGAGCAGCAAGCAGCTGAAGGAAGAGATGTGAGAGCTGCGCGTCATAGCCTGGTCTCACAGTCAGCCTGCTGCGTAGGCAATCGCGCCACGAGGCTGTGCCCCGGTTGCCCACCTCACAGCTGGCAGGCGCTCGACCACCATCAACCAGCCCCAGACCCCAGACACAACCACACGCTCGCCGAAACAATCAAAACAACCGCACATCGGTTTATAAAACACAAACAGCCAATTCACTTAGCCCCTGCCCTGCTCTGCCGGGCTGTCTCGTTTGCTGCGCTTCTCGAGAGCGGCGCGTTCCCGAAGGCGAGCGGTGGGCGGTGGGCGTGGTGCTTCGTGTGTGTGTGTGTCGGACGGGGCAGAAAAGCAATCCAGGCGAGTACTAAAGGCTCGTTGCAGCACGGGGAGTTGGCAGCCGGTCCGCGTTGCACGACGGGGCTCTACAACATGCACCCCGGCCCTGCCGTTAGCGTGGCGCTCTGCTTCTTTTAGTTCACCGGCTGCCTAGACCGCTGCGCGGCTCCGGCGCCCGGGCCGGCAAGCAGCGCGCTCCCTTCACACGGGGCGGTTATTTTGTTCTTATCATTGAACGATAACTGCTTAGTCGTCGCTGGCCTGGTCCCCGTGCCGCGCCAGAGCCGTTGGCCCGGCGGGGCGGGGCGAGGCGGGGTCGGGTGGGGCGCCACACAAGGACGGGCGCCGACCTCTCCTCGCGACCAGAGTAGAGGTACCGCCCGGCCCGAGGTCGAGTGCGGCCGTGCACCTCGCTGCAGCGC